TGTTGGTGAGTTTATAACAAAGCAACCGCATTTGTGCATTAACTAAACCCATGGAAACTTCCTGTCAGTCATCTGGTCCAACATAGTTTACTAAATTATCTGTGTTTTCCCAGTGATTTAAAATAGCGTCCCTACCATAAGTCTGATTGATCTGTATTTCAGTCTATCTCTGACTTCTCCTCTTTGACAGTCTTTTCTTCCTTGCCTTTCATGACACTACCTTTTCCTGACAATTCCTGCAAAGTTTCCTTGGGTCTTCTCTTAAATGTTGTGTGGCAAGTCTCCCTCCTACAGGCTTGCCCTGGTGATCTTTGCATCCTCCCAATTTAATCTCTCTGCTCATGAAGCATAAATCTTGGGCCACCACGTGTGGTTGGGCAGGTTGGTCAGTATGCAACAGTGACCAGGCAAAGGGGCCAAGCAAGGATGAAATCCATTCTGCTATGCGTGCCAGCTGTGCACCCACGTGGCTCCCCAAGTTCCCATCTCTAGCCTAGACATCCTCTGAGTCACAGATCCATCCATCCAAATATATGCTAGCCATCTCTCTCTGAATGTCCCCCAAGGAACCATACGTGCAGCATGAACTCATTTTCTTTCTTTCAAGCCTGTGCCTCTCTCGTGTCCCCTACTTTCACTGCATGGTTCCATCAACAAGGCAGAAAACCGGGAGGAGTTTGAGTGCTCCTTGTCCCTGACCTGCCATATCCTGTCTGACAGATCAGCTCCTACCCTCTCTCCAGTCACTGCTGTAGAATTGGTATTTGACCTCATTATTTCTCTTCTCATTTAGTCCGTTGGGCTCCCTGCTTCCTGTCCTAAAAGCCTTCACTCTGCTGCACAAGCAACCTTGACACAAAATTCTGATCATGTCATGCCACTGCCTAGAAACTTTCCATGACTTCTCGCAGCCCACAGGATAAAGACCTGACTCCTCAAAATGCCTCAAGGGACTGCTGACTCCCTCTCACCTCTTTGTTCCTGGTCAGTGCCAAACACAAATCAGCCTTGCCTTTGCTCATGCAGTAACCTCAGTTGGGAATGCCTGCGTCAAGGGGCCCCTCCTTGAAGGCTTGGTTGATTACCCAAATAAAGCTGACTAAACCTTTCCTTGAGCCCCCCAATGTCCACGCTAATATCCATAACACTTATAGGTTTATATGTTTCTCTAGCCGCATTTAAACTGCAGGCTCTGAAAGCAGAGATGGCACTTTGTTTGACTTTGCATCCCCAGAGCCTGGCCCAGTGGCTAGCACTGTGACAACCTCACCCATAAAATCCTAAATGGATGTGAAAATAAACACAGTAGCCAAGCCAAGATGATACACATGAAAATTAAACCTTTAAATTACCACCTGGTTATATTTGTATGTGGTATAAAATCGGGACAGAACACTATTATGCCCAAGTTCCCTCTGAGAAAGAAGAGATTAGGGATTAAGGAAGGAAGACTAGAAGCATTAGAAAGAAAGGCAGACAGACAAAGAGGAAGAGCTGTGGAAGCACGGTCCCTGTTCTAAGCAGGACGTTCATCTTTTCTCTTTTTCTACATTTCTTTCAAACACTTCTAGTCTTCTTCCTCCCTTAATCCCTAATCTGGCATATTGATGAACTGCCAGCTGGAGAGGGAGGAGGAGGAGTGCTTCAGCAAGAGTCCATGCAGAAACAGATGCAGCTGGTCCAGCAGTGAGGAGACACAAACTTAGGTACCTCCAGGAGTTAGAAGTAAGATAAACACAGGTATGAGAAGAATGAGTGACTATTCTGATAGATACTTTCCTGCAGAAAGGCAGTCAGATTCAAAAATCATAAAAATATCTTAGCAGCCAAACAAAACAGGTCTAAGAAAGGATTCCAGAGGAGAGTCAGAAAGATAGCTGCTTGCTTCTTTCTTAGACTACTGAGCGGAATCCTTAATATGATGTTCAAGGCCTGCATGACCCTTACAAACATGACAGGCTCTTTGCTGTCAGGGAGACATTTCCTATCCCAAACTCTTCCCATCTAGCTGAAAGATACCTCCTCCTCCAGGAAGTCACCCCTGAGCCCCCAGGGGTACTTCTCCTTCACAGCCTTTCTCATGATTGTAATCAAACAGGTATTCATTTAAAATCTGCTTCTACTATAAGAAGATAAGTCGTTTGAGGGCAGGGATGTTTCACTCTTCTTATTATATCCCCAATATTCAATACTCTCTCGACCGTACATATTTGAGGCCCAGTAACTATGTGTTGAATGATTCAATCAATCAGACAGATAAACAATGAATTAAGCAATTAATGAATAAAACTGGCATGTATCTAGAAAGCAAGATCGAGGATCATGCCCTCAGCATAAACAAGAAGGGGAAGGATGGTCCTCCAGTGGCCGAAAGATAACCCAGAGAAGGGGTCACGGCCTGTGGGCAAACCCAGCCCACTCCCATTATCAGATGGCCCAGGGCACTTGCCAACTAAGATCATCTTTTACATTTTTAAGCAGATGAAAAATAATCAAAAGAAAAATGACATTTCATAACACATAAAAGTTACTTGAAATTCACATTTCGGCATCCATAAATAAAGTTATACTAGAACATAGCTACACTCATTTATTTACAAAGCATCTATGGCTCTTTTCATGCTATAACAGTAAAGTCAAATGGCTGTAACAGAGACCATATGACTCTCAAAGCCTAAAACTACTTACTACTTGGTCCTTTCCAGGAAAAATTTGCAGACCCCCTGGCCTGGAGCCTCCGTGGGCTCACGACATCCAGGACCTTGAAGCAAGTTCTGACCCAGTGGCATATACTCAGGTCTGAGTTCCAGAAAAACAGTGTCTGTTGATGCAAAATGTGACTTAAGTATCCATGAATAAATAGAGAGCTAGATAACTTAACGGTAGCATACTCATGCAATGGATTATTACATAGGTATTAAAAGAATGAAGGCTGGGCACGGTGGCTTATACCTATAATCCCAGCACTTTGGGAGGCCAAGGCAGGAGGACTGCCTGAGCCCAGGAGTTCAAGATCAGCCTGGGCAACATGGTGAGACCTCGTCTCTACAATAAATCAAAAACTTAGCCAGGCATGGTGGTGCGTGCCTGTAGTCCCATGAACTTGGAAGGCTGAGGTGGAAGGATTGCCTGAGCTCAGCAGGTTAAGGCTGCGGGGGCTGTGATCATGCAATTGCACTCCAACTTGGGTGACTCCGACTCAGAATAAACAAACAGAATGAATTAGACCAAAAAGTACGAAGTATAGGAAGGCATCTACAACACATTGTCAAAGTAATTTAAAGGACATATAGATGATATTTTCTAACTTATTTTAAAAAGAAAAAGTGTACATATGTTTAAATGTGCAAGAATATGATTCTCTGGAAGGATATGCATGATAAATAGCTCTGGGGAAATGAAACCAGGATTTTTACTTACAAACCTTTTGTACGTACTGAATTTTTTTACCCTGAAAATATACTATTCTCTAATTAAAAAAAAAAAAGACAAACAGATGCTGATTTTAGAAAGCCCTTCTCCCCCATGTCCCTTCACGATAGAGTAGCTAATTCAGGACAAGAATGGATTCAAATTCTTGATGATCTCAAGATCCCATGGCCTCAATTCTGCGTTTTGCAGATGGACGCTGCATATAAACACACTCTCCTCTGAAACTTCGAGTCTTGGGTAACAGTGCAAAGCTGTTCATGTGTTTGTTTTGAGAAACGTAAGATTAGAACGGTTAGAAATAGTCCTACTTCTCTTTTCCTAGAAACTCCGTTAGCTCTTCACTTACACCACCCCTCTTGAGCTCTCAGAAGGTCAGGTTGCCAGGGGATATAAATAAGCCAGCCACCCAGAACAGCAGCTGTCAGCAGCCTTCTTTGTGTCTCCTCTAAACAGCAGCTGGCTCTCCTGTTACCAGGACCTCTCCCAGTGTAGGCTCATAATCATAAGCTACATGAATGATCCCCCAAGGTAGAAAGAGGTGGTCATGAAATCAGGTGGGCAGAGGAAAGAACTTAGAGGCCAAGGCTGAGTCAGCAAGTGGATCTGGGTAGGACGTCACATTCTGCCTTTGGCACGCATGCCTATGATTCCCACCAAATCTAACTTTTCTTGGTTTGGGCCCTCTCAGTACTCAGTCTGCTCAGTCTTCTGTTTTAATGACTTCCCCAAGGTAATTTCCTTGGGGAGTCATGGAGCTCAGAACACAGGGCTATTAGCTGGTTTGCCCTGCCCTGCCCTAGACCACAGCCTGCAACAGTGCCCCTTGCTCACTTTGTCACATAATCTGCTGCACTATGCAACCTTTTTATAGATCATCTTCAGCCTACTTCTGGAGGTCTTGAGGTCATTTGAAGACCCAGGAAGTCCATATTAATTCACAGCATTCAAGTGTGGTCCTACTCAACTCAGAAATGCACATGGAGTCTATGCTATCTGATGGGATAGATAATCCATAGGTAGACGCGATATTTCCCAAAGAGTATTCTGAGAAATGTCAGCCAGAGAGACACTTAAGGAAAAAGACATTGAATTGAAATTAGAAAGCCTTACATTTACAATTCTTGTTTCAAAGATTTAATAACATCGGTACATTCAAAATTCCAAGAAATCATGTAGTAGCTTAACTGGTTAATTTTATTCAAACCAGCTATTGGTCATAGAAGCTTCTGAGATAGTGTTTGGAAAACACAGCCCCAGATGATGAGGTTGGATCAACAAAGATAGCCAGGGAAGATAAGATGTAAGGTTCCAAGGACCACCCAAACATTGAACCGCAGCCTAGCCTCAGAACATACTCCCAGAACTATAGAGCCAGACTCAGCATCCCACCACCCAGCACTGTGGGGAAAGCAAGACTCTACTGCAAGTCCTGGGCACACACTTCAGGAAAAAAAGCACCAAAACAGAGGGGTAGAGGAGAGAGGGAAAAAACTGCCCTTCCAGAGAGACAGAACCCCAGGGGGCTTGTGCAGGATGCTTCCCTGAGAGGCACCAAGAGCAGGACTCACCATTGGTGGTCGTGTTGACATAGTAGCGCCGGCCCTGAGGCGACAGGTAGCTCTGCCAGCCAGGCGGAAGGACGAAAGTCTGGCTTTCCTCTCCTGGCGGAGGGGGGACCATTCCAGGCTTCTGTTGGAGAGGAAAGAGAAGGTCACACTCATGTGGCATTTCTGCAAGTGTTTTTAAGCCAGGAAGTCAAAGGCTGATGAAGTCACCTTAGAATAACTTGACACTGGGAAGTGCACGGTCCACAGACACCCCTGGGGGGAGGTCACAGGCGGCACATGTGTGGCCTCGAGGACTGTATTAACATGAGGGGTGAGAAGCATCTGTGATTTCAGAGACACTGCACAGGGGACAGCTTCCTAGAGGAGAAATGCCGTTCAGCTAGCAGAGTTAAACTTTCTCCTAGTTGGTTCCCCAGAAAATCACTCACAGGGGTGCTGTGCTTTCAGGGGCCCCGTCACTCTACCAGCTCCCGCTGCGGAATCTGAAGCCCCAAATCCCCTGACCACAGAGTCCAGCAGCAGACGACGCCCCAGGCCTGCTGTGCAAACCTAGCAGAAGTAATTAATGCAAGTTGTCGCAGAGCGAGATGCAAAATATTCTACAATGACGCCAAGAGTCTAGGAGAGCTGGATGGAGCTTCTCTTGCCAAGTGTCTGAATCAGTCTGGATAAAAGACCTAGGACTCGGAGACAACATCGAATATGTTTGCGTGTGGTTTGATTCTTTTAACCAGGCACAATACTACACTTCGTGTTTAAAAATCAGAGAAAAATGTTATGGCATATAAAGAAACTAGATAGAGAGTAGACACAGAGGCTAAAAGAGTTGTGATTCCCAGTTGGTGAATTGTGGCAATTTTTATTCCCTTCTTTCTACTCATCGGTTCCATCTAAATTTTCTCTAATAAATACAAAAATAAAAGTTGTTACAAAAATAAAAAACAGAGGGTCCACATGAGCCTACACGATTGCTGTGCTTTTTGAAGAAAATCAGAATTGCAGCCACATAGAGAGAGTGGCCGTGAATTTCTCAGCAGCCAGTTCAGACACATTAAAGGTAATCGGCTCCCAAATGTCTTCAGCATCCCACAGCAGTGGTTCTTTCCTCACTGATGACCCCTGCTTAGGAAAAGAAGATAAGAGACTGAAAGGTAACAGGAGCTCCTGGGCTGCTCTTGTGCTTTGTGAAGGCTGCACAGTCATGTGCTGCGGCTTCCTGCGGTGCCCTGGTGTGTCGTTGGGGAGAATGAGTAAATCCAAGCTGCTCCCGGGATTTTGAATAAACACAGCCTCCTTTCTACCCTCTGTGTAGCCGCAGTGTATGTTTCATTAAAAATTTTCACAACTTAATTAAAAGCTTTCCCCTATGCCCTGGACGCGTCTGTCTCCCACACCTGCTAACCCACAGTGCCTCTTTGATTCCATATGGATGATTGTCTTCTCTTCTAAGCAAGTAGGTAATGGTGAGGTGGCCAGCAGCCAGGCCCAACACACTGCAGTGTCCTCCCAGGTTGCCTTTTCACCAGTACAATACATCCATTAAGCACAAGCACACACCAAGCAGGTTTACCTGGGCTTCCACACACTGCTTTGGTCTCTCCTGGATCGGAAGACAGTCAGGAAATATTCTTATAACGAGGTGTGTGTGCATGTGTGTGTGTGAAGTATCCCATGTACAAGACATGTACATATTGGCCAGTGGGTTTGGGAGTAAAGTAGGCATAAGGGGATTGGGGGATTAATAACGAGTGTTTGACTGAAGAAAGAAATATTCTAGAAGCCAGACGCGGTGGCTCAGCCTGTAATCCTGCGCCTTTGGGAGGCTGAGGTGAGTGGATTGCCTGAGCCCGCGGGTTCAAGACCCGGCTGGGCAGGTGAGACCTCATCTCTACAATAAATAAAAAAATTAGCCGGGCATGGTAGCATGCCCCTGTAATTCTGGCTACTCGGAAGGCTGAGGTGGAAGGATCACCAGAGCCCAGCAGGTCGAGGCTGTGGTGGCCAGGAGTGGCCACTGTACTCCAGTCTGGGCGACAGAGTGAGACTCCAACTCAAAAAAAAAAAAGAAATATTCTAGAACCAGAAGGGTAGGATGCCAGGAACCCTCTTCTTGAGTGAAATATTGTAGTTTCTCTTTCAGTCAAATATGGGAAGGCCATATTGGTGCTTGTCCAAATAACCTGGGAGGAAATGGGAAGTTGTTACAGGCCAGCAAAGGGCTTCAGTGAGGGGGACCCAGAGGAACAGTGAAAACAGCCCTCAGGCTCAAAGCACCTTCAGTCCCAATCTTGACTCGGTCACTTGTAGCTATGTGACCACAGGCAAATGACGCACTAGGCTATTTCTGCACTTATACAACGGAGGATGATAATGTGAGTCCAAGGCTGAGCACAGTGGCTCACTTGATCCCAGGAGTTCTAGACCAGTCTAGATAACATAGCAAGACCTTGTCTCTACAAAAAAATAAAAAAATTAACTGGGAGTGGTGGCATACACCTGTAATCCCAGCTACACAGGAGGCTGAGGCAGAAGGATCACCTGAGCCCAGGAGGTCAAGGCTGAGGTGAGCCATGATTATGCCACTGCACTCCAGTGTGGATGACAGAGTGAGACTTCAACTCAAAATGATGATGATGTGAGCCCAGTCGTGGATGACATTGGGGAGATTAACAATAATAAACCTAGCACCTAGGACGGTGCCTGCCCCCAGGAATGCTCAATGAATGGGGGTTCCCATTGTAAGGGGGACATTTAAATGCTGATTGAGACCAGGTTTCACACAGTTTCTGTCTATCATGACACCAACCTCTACCCCAACCTGACCATCAGGGTGTCTGAAAGGTCACCATCAACAGTCATTCTGAGTTTTCTGTTTCCAAGACTACCCAACTTAAAAGGCAAACACCTGCTGAGGAGGTTAACACCTTAAGGCGTTGGCTAATGCGTCCTGGTGAGAAGGGTGAGAAGGCTGAGATGTGAGGAGAACACTCGTCACAGGGGTTGAAGAACCAGTGGACCTATGCACTGACCCTCAGTGCCACACCCAAGGAAAATAATGATGCTGTCCTTTCCCCGCATTTCTCTTTAGACTGTCTCTGATTAATTTATCTAAAAGAAGCAGCCCCAGCTTACATGCGAGGACACTGATGACCAAGGAGCTCTCCCCCAACAGGGAAAAGTAGGTACCTACAGAAGGTTGGAGGTACCCCGAAACTAAACCAGGAAGGGCCACAAGGTGCCAAAAGAAGAGAGGAGGGCACCTGGGCCAGCCTGACCTATTTCCTGGTTCAACCGATGTGGCAAAGGTGACCTCCACATCCCCCACCTGCACCGCCACGGGTCCTGCTTGCTGCCACCATCACACTGCTCTGCCATCATCTCCTGAGGCAGCCACAGTCTCTTTGCCTTCCTCCTCTCTTAGAAAGAAGCTCCTCCTGGCGGCTGACCTCAAATAAGTCGGAAGTCAAAAGACATGGAGACAACCAGGTATAGACCCAAAAAACTGGAAACAAACGTGCAAACAAAAACTGGTAAATGAATGTTCACAGCAACATCATTCATCAATGGCTAAAAAGTGGAAACAATCCAAATGCCCATCAATGGATGAAGGAATAAACAAAAGGTAATACAGTTGTACAATGAAATATTATTCAGAAATAAAAAGAAATGGAGTGCTGATCCATGCTACGACATAGATAATCCTTGAAAACATCATGCTAAGTGAAAGAAACCAGACACAAAAGACTACATATTGTATGATTCCATTTATATGAAGTGTCCAGAATAGGCAAAGTCATAGAGACAGAAACAGATTCATAGTTCAGGGGTCAGGAAGGGGAGAATGAGTACAGGTTTTTCTTCTGGGATGAAGACAATGTTCTAGAATTAGATTGTGGTAATGGTTGCACAATATTGTGAATGTATAAATGTCACTGATGGTAAGTTTTATGTTGTGTGTATTCTGCCACAATTAGAAAATTTTTTTTGAAGATGTGGTGAAGGCAGAAATTAGACCTCCCCACCTTCAAGCCCTCATTTAAGAGGCTAAAAGCACCAACATTACCTCATCCTTCATGGCCATGGAGGGGCAGGAGCAGCTGGCCTCCTGGGAGAGCTGCCCCCTAGTCATCACGAGGATACAGGGTGACTGACTACCCAATAATTAAAGTCTCTCCCAAATACACTCTTCTAATTAGTTTCCTTCCAAGTTAAATCCTTCCCTTCCCTTCCTTAGTCCTGTGGTTTACCCCCTTCTATTCTGTCAGTAACTTTCCCATGGGAATAGGAACTAGATGCAGAGGTAACACTGGCCCAGGAGGTTGGGGACCCCATCTAGAAGGAACAGTAGATTAGAGGCAGTAGGGGTGGAGGTGGAGGTGGAGGTGGAGGTGGGAGGAAATGAATTGGTTTCTTTCAACTCAGAAATTCTTAACCTAATATACAAGGTGTCTTTATGAAAATCACGAAATGCTGCCTCTTCCTCTACAAGGGGCCAATCCCTAGGCCAGAGAGCAAGGCTCAGTTTCTTTTTCTTTCTTTTTTTGTGTGAGTTGGAGTCTCACTCTGACGCCCAGGCTGGAGGGCAATGGCAGGTTCACGGCCACTGCAGCCTCAACCTGCTGGGCTCAGACAATCCTTCCACTTCAGCCTTCCAAGTAGCTGGAACTACAGGCATGCACTACCACGCCTGGCTAATTTTTTTATTTATGGTAGCAACAAGGTCTCACAAAATTGCCCAGGCTAGTCTTGAACTCCTGGGTTCAGGCAATTCTCTTGCCTCCACCTCCCAAAGTGCTGGGATTACAGGTGTGAAACACCGCACCTGGTAAGACTCAGTTTCAATCTTTCTCTTTCCTCCCTCATCTGAGCCCCCTTGTTCAGTAGATAACCTGCTCAACAGTTTGAGGAAGCTCATCCTCTAGGAATCTGAGGAAAGCTATAGATCTCCTGCCACCCCCCAAATGGGTATGTGGTATGCATACACACTCACCCTACTTCACATGTAATATGAAGAGGTTCCTAGATCACTTCAGAACCCTAGTCTAGAAGATACTCAAGAAATATCTGAGCTCAGATTCTATTTGTACCCATCAACAATGACTTCCACCAGTTACCAAATGT